TAAAAGTAATTTCGATTTGAGTGACAAAGAACGTATTGGTCAATTAAAAAGATTCGAAAATTCTGAATTGCAAGCATTATTGAATGAAAACGTCGCTCAAACGGAAAAAATAATTGGCTGAACAACTCAACATCGATAAATTCAAAAGGAAGGCAAATGGGTTCTACATGAATTGAGTGAAAATGACATTGAAATCGTTTGAATGACAAATCGTTTGAATGTCGCCATATCTTTGCTTACCAGACAGAAAAAAGAGTTTTTTTGTGACAAACTGTAACTGGAGAAGAAAAGTATTTATTTTGATAATCCAAAGCGAAAGAAATCATGGGTTGATCCAGGACAATTATCAACAGCACCAAAACGGAATATTCACTGTCACAAAGCAATGCTCTGTATTTGGTGGGATATGGAAGATGTGGTGTACTTTCAAAACCGAATGAAATAGTTACGGAGGAGCGATACCAGCAACAGTTGAACAAATTGTATGATGAATTGATGCAAAAAAGGCTAGCGATAGACGCAAAGTGATTCTTTTGCACGATAATGCTCGTCCACATGTTGCTTCAATCGTTAAACAAACATTGTTAGAGCTCGAATGGGACATCCTTTCATCCAGCGTACTCTTCAAACTTAGCACCATCTGATTACCATTTATTCCGATCGATGCAACACGCTTTAGCAGATGCATACTTCAATAATTGCGAGGATGTGTAAAAATGGGTATCTGATTGGATTGCTTTGAAAAACAGATTGTCCTATCGTCACGGAATTGTTATGTTGTCAGAGAGATAGGAAAAACTCACAGTTAACGGCGGAAAATATTTTGATTGATATAAATTTAACAATTTTTTAAAATAAAGATAAAAAATTGACAAAATAAGATCAGAATTAATTGAACCTCCTAATTGAACTTCCTGTAGAAATTGAGATTTTGTTTCGTGCAGAAAACATTTTATACGTTATAAAAAAGAATTAACATCTATCGAAATTGAAATCATTCGAATTGAGCTGTGAACCCAATTTCAAAGTTATATTATAATATATGATGGAATTATTTGAATCTTTTTAATAGATATTTCATGTTTTTTACATTTCAAAAATAATATTGCCAACATTGGAAATTTTAATAAGTGGCTAGACTTGAGTAAGATATGGTGCCATTTTATAGAATGAGCGATCAACGATGAATGATTATAATCACCTTTAGTAACGACAAGATTAGAATCAGATCAAATTTTGATTAAAAATCGAAATCGGTTTTGGCGTTCTTTCAAGATGCTAAAAGTTTGTACCGATTAAACATCACTGAAGAACTTGCATTCGCTTTATTATGTCGAATATAATAGTTGCCAATGTGCGATTTATATCAAATATTGCGATATGAATTTATGAACGAATGCTTTGCACTTTTTTAGGTGCTAGCGATCCTTATGTGAAGGTGAAATGTTCAGGACGACTGCTGCATAAATCGCGAACCGTTCATCGCGATTTAAATCCGGTGTGGGACGAAAGCGTGACCTTGCCCATAGAGGATCCTTTTCAACAACTTACTATAAAGGTATTGCCTCTCTTTTTGTCGTATTGATGCAAAAATCACGCGTATATAACGTCATAACAGAGAAATTTCGTCGCTGTTATTAAATAACTATACGCTAAATAAATGTATCGTGCTTACAGCTAAGTCTATTTTTCGCAAAAATATGAGCGAACAGAATATTTTTACGCGATGTATCAGAAGTAAATAAACCTCTGCGTTCCTTGCAGAGGTTTTCGCTGCTTTCGTGTTTTGCGAATTTTCGAGTACTACGATAAAGAAGTCTACACGTAACGAACCGATCGATAAACTCATTTTGTGTCGCACGCACGCATGCAGGCATACACGCACAACATATTTGTCATTTGACTTTACGTGAATTAATGGCGCACATTAATTAGATTAATGAGAAAAGTAATTCCAACAATTTGTGCAATGAGTTTACAAACATTTTGACGTTTCGCAATATATTCCTCTTGTGGTATACCGACAAAATTAGATTAATAAATTAATAACATGAATTAATTCATGTGCAAATAATACAAATTAGTAGTAAATTAATTAGCATGACAGTAATAATAAACCTCTAAGAGAAGGGTCATGCAACAGTTAGTTTCTGAACAAAAATATTCTACTCACGGTATTACAAATGATAAACTCGTGTACACACACAGACACATACAATATATATATATATATATATATAGACGATACATTTATTTAGTCAACAACAAAGTCAACAACAAAATTTATTTAGTCGACAAAAATTTTATGTCGGAAAATAATTCGTGAGAGCATTCAGATGACAGTCAGAAGATTTTTCATATACGTCAACGACCTTTCATATACGTCAACAGGTTTTCGATTACGATTGGGGCCTGCAAGATGACTTTATGGGAGCTGCTCAGCTGGATCTGACGCAGTTGGATCTTGGCCATCCTCAGGATATAACATTAGAACTCAAAGACCCGGCCAGACCGAAGCAACATTTAGGCGAGATCTATCTGACGGCCACGCTTTGGCCGAGAAATCAACAGGAAAAAGAGCAGGTACATTGTCTTTATCCTTCTCAATGATGCTCATAAGATGCTTTGCAAAAATTAAAGATCCGATTAAAAGTAAAAGCGTAATTCATATGTCTTACGCTCTAATGCGGTATTATAGCGGATTAAGCACAGTGGGGGTAGCGGAGTAACCATGACGAGCGATCGCGACATGCTGATCGCTCACGGTATCTCGCTGGATGGATAGTTGTGTTGCCCTGCGTGTATTTATAGCGTATATGAAGAATCGGGAAACTGGGCTGTGAAGGAAATACACGCCCGCGTCCGTATTACGACGGCAGTATCGACTTGTCGTCGTTGCCTGTCGTTGAAAGTGGAGTGCAAGGCCTGGCCCGTATTATCGCGAAGCTCCACTTACATATTACCTATTATTATACGCTATTCCGCCGCACCACGCAGGAATAAGTAACGTAAGTGAGGACTCCGGTCGCCAGGCTGTTGCGCTCCGACGCGTTAAATCCAATTCGTGAATTAATACCAATTTACGCGCGCATCGTCTCGCCTGCACGTCGCGATACGACTCGTCGCGTCGCGGAAGCGCACCGCGTGCGTCGACTCGTTTGTTGACTTCGTGACTTGCCGTTTGATTTATTAGACCTTGCGGTGCGATCTCGAATGCACATATACGCATGTTGTACGTGCGTGCGTTTATTTTATATTTAACCCTAAATGGACTCTGCGTCTCGACAGGGTTTACGATGCGACGATTAATTACATTAATTATAAGGGAAACACTCTAGTCTCAAGATGGCGCTTCTGCGCTATCAGAAGGATTCATCGCAGCAACTCGAACCCCGAGACGTGTGCGTGCACCATATATGTTAATTAAATTCAGGGTTGGAAAAGTTACTTTGTAAAAATATTTAGTTACAGTTGCAGTTTTTTATTGAAAAAGTAACTAGTTACAGTTACAAGTTATTGACCTTCAAAAATAACATGTTACAGTTGTAGTTATTTAGTAAGTAACAAGCCGTTACTTTTCAGTTATTTTTTTACAATAATTGTGCTATTATTTTAAATTTCATAATTGTGTAAATTCCTTCAATTTTATCTAAAAGTAGTTGATTATTATATTCCTCATATTGTATATAATTTTTACAAATTCAGATTTATTAATTTAAATAAGCAATACATATTTATTTTTTAAGACTATTAATGACAATTATAAGAAAGTGAATGAATTCGATGAAGATAATAAATACTAAAAATACCAAAGGTAATCTTAACATCAAAAATTCGATTTTTTCACCGAAAGATATATTGATATTTTATAAATAAAGATTTATACTCATATGTTTTCTTAAATTTGCAATTGAAGTTCTACTTGCATGAATAATTTTTTTTGCCAGTGCATATTTTGTAGAGAAATGCCCAGTTGTTCTTATTTCCAAATTTTCGTTGTAACTCAAATATTTCTGCATATTCTGGCATTTTAGAATCCTTCTTCGAAGATTGAGATGTTTTATTCATTGCTTGAATTTTTTATATAACTGTAACCACATAGCGCACTTCACGTTGCACAAGTTATGTTAACAAATCTGGCGATGCGCGACAGAATGTCCAATAGACGTACAGTTTTTTGAAAGAAATACAGGTTACGTTCAGAGAGGAGACTATTGCATCTTTTATCCTTGTTTTACATCTAATGATCTAATGAATGATCTAATGAACGATAAAGATAGATGACATAATAGCGCGTTTTCTAAATGTAATCAAAATAACTATATGTTTATTGGATATTAAGCATCGTCGCGTTATCGTATTGATCTGCCAGAAATTTAAGTTTGAAATATATAAAGTGACTATTAAATTAATTATTAAATTAGTTACTAGTTATCAAACAAATATAACTAAGTTAGGTTACAGTTACAAATGGAAAGAACGGAACGGAGTTAAGTTATAGTTACCAAAAAAATAACTATAACTGTAACTTCGTTACAAATAACGAGTTACTTCCTAACCCTGATTAAGTTTATGTTAAATTTTGTAGCTCAACTTTCTACGTCAGCTTATCGATTCAACTTGATTTTTGTTTTTTGTTCGATAACCTTGAGATCATTCATTTTTTTACCTGTTTCTGATTAACTGATATTGAAAGGGTATTATATAAATAACACGCGCGTTGGAAATTTTCTAAAGCGATTAATTTCGACCGCCATGTAAATGCCATGTCATCGATTGTACAATATTAACGGTATATTTGTCTCTCTGTGATTGAGCATCGCTATTTGACCATTGAAATGCGTTTCTCCTCCAGCATCACGTGAATTTCACACGCTGCGTCGCGCGATATTTCCACAAGTGAAGTGAAGACCAGAATATATCGCGCTCATGCCGTTACATCATCGTGTATACAAAGTGTCTTAGTGTTTATCGGAATACATCCTTGTACGAATAGTTTGCTGCTGCGAACAGAGAGGGAAAAAAGTGCAGTTGGTCGGAGCTAAGAGCGCGAGCATCGAGCAGCAGTTGCCGACGAAGCTCGCTTCGCGCTCATTGTCAGTGAAACTTTCTGCCGGCTCGCGCGTGTAAGCACGATAATCGTGCCATTGCTTATCAGCAAGGTGCCTATTCGATAGAACGATACCGATGACTTTGAAACGAATCGTGCGCTAACTGCCGCGGCGCTCGCCGTGGCTCACAATAAAAGACGCGCGATAATTGCCTAATATGCCATGACGCTGGCATGATATATCGCGCGATTGAGTTATTCGTTCGCATTTTTTTTTCGTGACTCAGCGGCGCAGATTCACGATGATGTAACGCACAAAAAGTAACGAGAAATAGCACCGAGAGCGGAAAAGTGTGTTTAATATACAGTGTGTGTGATAACTGTAATAGTACATAGTGAAATAATTATAATCACAAAGGAGCCATTGCTTCCTTCAGTAAGCGCTATTATCGTAGTGTTGCTGATAATGAACGTGCATGCATGTTAGTGCTGTTGCTATTTTGTTGAAGCAACGAGAAGATCTGGTTGGCGTCTTGAGATGTTTATAATCTGTAATAAAGTTAACAAATTTTTTCTCTCCATGTGCGTCAGCAAGATCGTTGATCAGTATTACAGCTCAAACTGATGTATAACACGCTTACGCAGCGGCCCGATGTCATATCCCAATTGTATTTTGTGTTCGAAAGGACGACGGTGATCACTAAGATCGCACGACAGCAATACGGTTTGACAAAGACAATTCGACGGTTTCTAGCGTAGCGAACGTCATGTCAATGAATCATGAATATTATACTAGAAATGGATCTCATGTTCAAGCCGTGTATCGCGAATGAACCGGATATTACATCCGGAATGGATAACGCGACGCAAAAAGATTCGGTCGACAAAGTCTCGAAAAATGAGATAGCGTCCGAGACTCGAGTAATACCTGACATTGATGTCGACACGCCTATCAGAAAACTACAACGGAAACCTCACGTGAATAAGCAAAGAAGACATCACGTCACGATACCGGCGATTGAGCGTGATATGTCGGAAAAGAAATTCGAGCAGAACGTGGGTGAAACGGAAAGCGATTCTAACAAAGATATTCGGGGAGAAGAAGACTCGAAAGAGTCAACTAGGGTCGCTGTGACTAGAAAGCCGTCTGCGATCGAAAATGCGATCGAAGAACCAACGAAGGATGAAATGACTGAAGGAACATCCGCCGAACGAGATCTTATAACTAAGAGGATGATATCGAGTATTCCTGAGGGTGAAAGATCAAAATTGGATCAAGCATCGGCCAAAGAAAGAATTTCGAAAACTCGAGAGCAAGAATCGTCCGCTGATAAGGAGTCCAGGATGCAAAAGAGGAAAGTGAAAGATTCACTCAAAGGCTTTATCGAGCGGAAGATCGAGTTGATGGAGAAAATAGTGGAAGATCGTGTAGAGCGATTCTCGGGGAAAATTTGGGAAGAAAACGTGGAGAGACACCCGTGGCTACAACCGATCGACACTTGGATCACCGATCATCGCAAACCTGCTTCTAGCTATACACTTGCGACGTATGATCAACGAAATGATGATCAGGATATCGTGTTGAAGCCCACTGCGTACAAGTGCGAGACAATCAAGGAGGATGAAGAGCCGCTGATTGATAGCAAGACGACCGAACATCCGCGAGGATTACGAGGAACCGATTTCGAGACTTTAATTGCGCAATCGAAAAAGAAGATCCTCCCCACGTTTCGTGTAGAATATCGGGAAGAAGAGGTGTCGATCGATGTATCGAACGAACCCACCGGGGAAGCGAAAGAGACCAAACGCCACAACAGCGATCTTTTGGATAAGATAAAGGACAACGTTAAAGAGAAAATGGAGGGTATTCATAAGGTAGTTACGCAGATATTTTTTCTTTTCTATCCGATCGCGTCACCACGGTTTACTATGGCTGATATTGCGAATAATTTAAGATATTTTTAGATATAATCGTCCAAACCGGTTGTTGTAGTATACGTCTGACTAATTCACGACTCATTCTTTCCTCGTAAATATTCTTTTTTACGACTCGCCAGATGACTTTACGACTACTGATTATCGAAATAGTGAAGAAAAATAAACAATCCGTTAAAATAGATACATAAAATAAAAATGTCACGAAATGCCATGAAATAAAATAGAAGAAAGAAAGGAATTTTTATGGTATTTGACTTTTTAGTTTTAAAAGATCATTTTATTTTATACGTGTATATTTATTTTATACGGTGTGTGTAGAAAATTGTAGTTTGTCGAGGTAATCCATAGTAAGATTCGATTAAATCCTATTGTATAAATAACATCTCTTTATCTTGAAATATAAATATGGAAATAAAATAAGAAGGATCACACGGAATTTCTATTTTGCATAAATTATACATAACGTCTGACTAGGGATGCAACGATAAATCGATAATATCGAAATATCGATATATCGAGAGGCAAATATCGAATATTTATCGAAATTTTTTGTCTCCGATTAAATCGGCATATCAATATGAATTTTACTGATTTTCTTATTTTTTAGTTACAGCTCTGGGGGCCTATTACGGTTCTACGACCGAGATGAAAATTACAAAAGTGAGTGAATTCACTAGAATATATATTATGTAATTGCTCGATGTCTAGTAAATTCGCTCACTTTTATAATTTGCACCTCAATCGTTGAACCGTAATAGATCTCCTGCTCCATGTGTGTGGTGATCTTTGGCAAATGACTGCGGTTCATTATATATTTTTTAATAAGAAAAATACGACAATAAATTATATAAAGATAACAATTTTTAAAAGATCTTTTCAAATTTTTTCGTGCATATCTTTTATATGCATACCCCTATATGTATATTTTTTTTATACAGGGTGTTTGATAGCTGATCATGCAGACGAAAGTTGGAGATAGATTGGGTGTCGAGAAGAAAAGTCATGTACCATAATGTCAAATTGGCAATAGTTATCGAGTTATTAATTAAAACATGTGAGCCAACGAGCGCGTAGAAAGCGGAGGGCGGCCGCAGTAAGCACGTAGATATTTGATACAGGCGGAGTCAGTGAGTGACGGTAGGCAAGCGCGCGCGGCGAGGGGCAATGTAAGCGACAAGAGGCGATCGCGCGCGACGAGGAGCGAGCGAGCTTTTTCTTTATAGGTTTTTCCTTATAGCTCGCTCGCTCCTCGTCGTTCGCGCTCGCTCGCTCTTCGTCGCGCTCGCTCGCCTCTTGTCGCTTGTGCTCGCTCGCTCCTCGTCGCGCGCGTTCGCCTCTTGTTGTTTACGTTGCCCCTCGCCGCGTGCGCTCGCCTATCGTCACTCGCTGACTCCGCCTGTATCAAATGTCTATGTGCTTACTGCGGTCGCCCTCCGCTCTCTACGCGCTCGTTGGTTCACATGTTTTAATTAATAACTTGATAACTATTGCCAATTTGACATTATGGTACATGACTTTTCTTCTCGGCTACACCCAATCTATCTCCAACTTTCGTTTGCATGATGAGCTATCAAACACCCTGTATAATTTTTTATATTTTTTTATTTTTTGTGGTTAGCGATGGACAATACTTTCAATGACATGTTCTTTACTAATTTTTTTAAATAAAGCATTCATTTTCACGAAAAAACAGCGAGAACTTATTCAAGTCCCCAATAAGTTAAACATTGAAAAGGTTATCAAGTTAAATATCTAAAAAAATATTAGGCAAATAAAAAATATTTCAGACAAAAGTTGTTTAAATTAACTAGTAATAAAAAATAATATAATAAAAAATTGGGGTTTTTATTTAAGAAAAGTAATGATTAGTGAATATCTCGAAGGTAATGCCATCTGTAAATAAACTAATATAATTATTTTATGTCCCCCTTGAAATCATGCAACTTTTGTCTGCAACATTTTTCCATATCTTCCATATTTTTCGAAATATTTGACTGGGGTATTTAAAATAGAACACTCTGTATATGAGAACGCGCACTTGTAGCACTTCGTTGCAAGCACATATGTGTGTACAAATAAAGTATAAAAGTGCTGAATAGGAGACCTATCTCCCATGACTTTGTTTGTTACATATATTATCAAAGACTTATTTCTAAGTAATATTTAACAGGTTTCAGCCATCGCTTATTACTTAATAAAAAGTTACTAACAAAGTTTCATTAGTAGAACGTAATTTTCCGACGCTGTGTACGTATTCAACCTTTTGCAGTTCAAACTTTTTTTCTTCATTCTTAATATTAGGTGCGCAACTAAGTTCCCGCTGTTTTTCAAGAGATGGCTCCAGTAGTAAGTGCTGGTCGATTGTGACATAACCAAAACGTCATGAACCAAGCTTAGACATATGGTAAACAAACCGCTTTGACACATTAGTGATTTTGGTTTTGCGTCATATACTTTTGGTTGTGTGAAAATGTCTTATTTTGTGCCAAATAATCGTCATTTGCGGGAAGTGTTGCTTTTCTTCTTTCATTCGAAGAAAACGGCGGCTGAAGCGCATCGAGAACTCCAAAAAGTTTACGGAGATGTTGCTCTAAGTGAAACAACGTGCCGTGATTGGTTCCGTCGCTTCAAAGACGGTGATTTCGATGTTGACGACCGTTCGCGTGAAGGAAGGCCAAAAACCTTCGAAGACGCTGAATTGGAGGCATTGCTCGATGAGGATCCGTGCCAAACGTAAAAAGAGCTTACTTCAGCATTAGGAGTTACCCGCCAAGCCATTTCCAAGTGATTGCATGCGTTGGGAATGATTCAAAAACAAGGAACTTGGGTTCCTTATGATTTGAAGCCAAGAGACGTTGAGCGTCGTTTTTTCGCCTGTGAACAACTGCTCCAGCGGCAAAAAAGGAAGGGTTTTCTTCATCGCATCGTTACGGGTGATGAAAAATGGATTCATTACAGCAACCCAAAGAGAATAAAATCATAGGGACTGCCCGGTCATGCTTCTACATCGTCGGCTCGACCGAATATTCACGCTGCGAAGGTTTTGCTGTGTATTTGGTGGGACCAGGACGGTGTTATTTATTATGAGCTGTTGAAACCGAACGAAACCATCACTGGGGAACGGTATCGAACTCAATTGATGCGATTGAGCCGAGCACTGCGCGAAAAGCGGCCACAATACGAGCAGAGGCACGAAAAAGTGATTCTACAGCATGACAACGCTCGGCCTCACGTTGCCAAACCCGTTAAAACCTACTTAGAAACGCTCAAATGGGAAGTCCTACCACACCCGCCATATTCCCCAGATATTGCGCCGTCCGATTATTACTTGTTCCGTTCGATGGTACATGGTCTGGCTAATCAGCAGTTCCGTTCATATGAAGACATCTCAAAATGGCTTGATTCGTGGATAGCCTCAAAAGACGAACACTTCTACCGTGACGGTATTCGAGCTCTGCCAGAAAGATGGGAAAAAGTTGTCGCTAGCGATGGGCAATATTTTGAATGATTCATTTGTAACCATTTTTTCACAATAAAGTTGCATTTTCATCAAAAAAACAGCAAGAACTTAGTTGCGCACCTAATAGTATTTTTAATAGTTCAATATAAAACATTATTGAGTCACACTCGACGTTGGATCGCAAAAGGTTAAGAAATCAATTCGTATTATAATTATATACTATATATAAATATATTCATCATATTTTTCAGGAGTCTTTTCCTTGCGGATATACGTGCTGCTTATACATATTCATGGGCTTTCCATGTTATAATTATAGAATGTAATTTTTCGATACGGTATACATTAAAAGATCAATCAGTGCATGTATATGCGTGGGAGAGAAATTTTGTCCCTCTCCCGATTGATTTTTTAATGTATACCGTATTGAAGCCACCACCTTGCTAAAAAACTAATCTAATCTATTACATTATAATATTAGTTTATAGTAATTTATTTTTGTATGTAGCTAACCGTTATTGAAAAAGCCTCATTAAAATTTTGCATTGAGAAACTATGCATAAAAATGCATACGATGTGTTAAATTAGGTTAGATTTTTAAAAAAAAGGTGTAAGCAGAAGGGGTAGAATCCCTTTCTCGCGCATATACATGTATTGTCTACTATTTTTTAGTATATAATGTGTCGGAAAAGTATGCTCTATATATAAAATACTTTTTTTGTTAATCATTTTTTTAATTTACAATTTTTTAATTTAAAAAATTTTTTAATAAACATTAAGCGACGACTAAAACTGCTTAAAGGCTTCTCAGTAGAGTGATTTCTATATTATATCTCTGGCCTTTCTCTTATATTTCTTCTCCAAAAAACTAATTTAACCTAATATATCGTATGCATCTTTATATATGGTTTCTCAATGTAAAATTTTAATGAAGCTTTTTCAGAGACGCTTAGCTGTGTACACAGATGTATAAGTTGAGTTAGATTAATTTTTTGCTGGTGCAGAAGGAGGGATGGAACTCTTTCTTCGCATGTAGGATAAACTTGAGTAAGATGGCCATGATATATTGGGTGAGTGCAAAAGTTCGTGCGGAGTTTGTGAGTAAAAGTCACACAGTGATTAGGCAAACAAAAATCTTTATTCAATCAATGATATATTCTCCATCGTTTTCTATAATCTTTTCCCAACGTTCTGGCAGCATACGGATGCCTCGATCATAAAAATTGCGCGGTTTAGATTCGAAGAACGAAGAAACGCCGTTTTTTAAGGCCTCCAAAGAGTCAAAGTTTTTTCCATTTAAATAATTTTGCAATGACCGGAACAAGTGATAGTCAGATGGTGCGATATCAGGAGAATACGGTGGATGCGTTAAGACATCCCATTTCAGGCTCTTCAGTTTGCGCAGCGTCTTTTTCGAAACGTGTGGTCTGGCGTTGTCGTGATGAAAGACGACTCCCTTGCGATTTGACATAATCGGACGTTTCTCTTTTATTTCTCGATTCAGATTGGTTAATTGGCGACAGTACTTGTCCGAATCAATCGTTTCGCCAGCGGAGAGAAGCTCGAAATAGATTATGCCCTTGCAATCCCACCAAACAGAGAGCATCACCTTCATCGGGTGCAAACTGGCCTTTGGCATTGCGTCACCATGCTCACCTGATTGTTTCCATGTCCGTTTGCGCTGAACATTGTTGTAGAGGACCCATTTCTCATCGCCCGTCACTAGTCGATCCAAAAACGACTCGTTATTGAGCCGCCCGAGTAAAGAAACGGCTGCAGAAATTCGCTTGATTTTGTTCTTCTCGGTCAGCAAATGGGGCACTCATATATCGAGCTTCAAATCGAATCCTATCTTTTTTAAACGCCGAAAAGCGGTTGATCGGTCAACGTTTAGTGCTGTAGCAACTTTTTCTGTTGAAATTCGCGGATTATTGAGCACTAAAGTACACAAAACATCGTCATCAATGTCAGAAGGTCGACCAGAGCGTGGCTCGTCTTCAAGGTTAAATTCTCCGCGCCGAAATTTAGCAAACCATTTTTCCACAGTTCGTTTAGCTGGTGCTTCATCCTGATAAACATCCTGAATGTTTTTTACGGCTGCGGCAACGTTTATTCCCTTCCGAAACTCGTAAAGCATAACATGCCGTAAATGCATCTTATCGATATTCATTTTTAAAGTGATATTTCTCAAAGCAGTTTGTATGAAAACAAATGATTTTTTTTTAATAACAGCTGAAGACGTCACCTTTCCAACGTTATATAATATGTAGATGGAAGTATTAATGACAACACTTTACGACGCTTATAACTCCATCTATTGAAACTCCGCACGAACTTTTGTACTCACCCAATAATATTCACAATATTGTTATTTTGAATAGTATATAAACTACTGTACTGTACTGTATAAATTATTGGAGAAATTAAAGCCTATGACCATTTTTTCCATATGGCCATTTTTACCCAACTCTTACCCAAGTATACGTGTACTGTTGACATTCTTTTAATACGTATGTACTGTGTCGAAAAATACATTCTTTAATTATGTATAATATGAAAAACCTATGGATATCTATAAGTGACATGTATATCCGCGGACAAGGACTCCTGAGAAATGTGGTGAATATATTTATATTTATACATATTTATACATATATAGCACATATACAGAACGTGTTGATTCTTTAAATATGTGCACAGCGTTGGAAAATTATGTTTCATTAATGAAACTTATTTTGTTAATAACTTTGTAATGCATAATAAGCGATGGCTGAAATCTCTTGAATATTATTTAAAAGGATAATATATATAATAGACAAGGTCATGGGAAATGGATCTCCCCTTCTATTCAGTAGTTACCTAAATAACTTCTATGTCTGAATAGTGGTAATTTTACTCAGCGTCCCATTTTTCCGTTGTCTAGTATTTCCAGAAGACCAATCGATTGGCGGATGTAAATAGACGGCTAAAATCGCAGATATGGAGTTCAGTGGTAACGATTGTTCTCGTGGAGGCAAAGAATTTGTTGCCAATGGACATAGACGGTTTGTCGGATCCATACGTCAAGTTTCGGTAAATGTAATATATTATAAAGATGAGATTTGTGCTTTGCGATTTCTTTCATACTAGGCATTTTGATTCTTTCCCGTTATTAATTGACAATCGCTTTTCTTTCGATTTAAAATAATTACTCTACTCTCCGATAGAGTGGAAGAATTTCATTCAAAAAGCAAGTCACGATTGTCCATGGAGTCGAAGTTTGAGTATATCGAATACTATAAGCTGAATTTGCAGGCTCGGCACGGAGAAATACAAATCGAAAGTCGTTAACAAAACCCTGAATCCGGTCTGGCTCGAGCAGTTCGACTTGCATCTCTACGAGGATCCGTATCTGGGTCAAGAGTTGGAAGTGACTGTCTGGGATCGGGACAGGAGTCATCAGGACGACCTAATGGGAAGGACGGTGATCGATCTGGCGACTCTCGAGCGAGAAACCACGCATCGGTTATGGCGTGAACTCGAGGACGGTTCCGGTAATATTTTTCTATTGTTGACGATTAGTGGCACTACCGCCAGTGAGACCATTAGCGATTTGGCTGCGCATGAAGACACGCCGTTCGAACGCGTGCAATTGGTCCAGAGGTATTCCATCTTGAACACTCTACAGAAGATACGCGACGTCGGCCATTTGACGGTCAAGGTAATTAGAAACAATTAGCATCATTTGCTAATACCGTTAAAATGTTATACTGGGAAGAAAAGATCTGTCGGAACAACTTAAGCCAAATTAAACGAATTCAATTTCAGGGTTAGATACAATGAACTGATTGCCCGAATTCCTTTGGCAAAATTTTCGCGTGTGTTTTCATCTTTTCGTTTGTATGAAACAAACGAAAGATGAAAATTTCATTTGATTCTCTTCACGCGAAGAAGAGAGTCGGTTCGTGCACAGAGAAAACGATTTCTTTGGATTTAATAAATTTTATTATAACCAAACAAATTTGAGCGTTGGAATAGTCGAAACAAACTCATATTTCAATCAACAAATACGTTAGTTTGGCTTTTCAAAGAATATATATCTTCATGTCAAATAAAAAATTTGTTTGAAATGAAAAGTATAGTTTATTTGGTTTTAAAAACACTATTATTTCATTCAACCAAAATCATTGCTTCATTCAAATACTTGACTTATTTCACTGAAATAATTATTTGTAGCGTTTATGCAACTTATTACTTTCGATCAAACAAATGTTATTATTAAATGAAGTAATTTCACTTTTTCATTGAAATAGTTGTACTGTTCTTTTTATAATAAATATTTGTTTCATCCAAAGAAATCTATTGTTTCCTTTAAACAATTTAAATTATTATGAGATAATAAATCAGACCTGCAAAGTTTCAATTTAACGCCATTGGCTTGAACAATTAAGCCCATTATTGTTCCAATTCCTTTCATTTCATGGCATTTAAGCTTTTTCGTGGAAACGTAAGACGCTCGAACTTTGAAACGATATGAATTATAAATCGTATAAAGTGCAAAGTAAAATGCATCCTATTATGATTTATAACTTATATTGCTCCCAAGTTTAAGTGACTTACGTTCCTGCGAAAAAACTAAATGCTCGAAAGTAGAAGAGTTGAGATGGCATCGGGCCCGACCGTCAAAATCAACGTCCTAAAGTCGGAACTTTCTGCAAGTTTGTAATAAATTATTAATACTTTGTAACTTTATAGGTTGCGTTGCACCTAAAAAACTGAGTTTACTGAATATTATATTGAGTAGATGTTTTTTTTTTAATTATTGTACAAAACGTGTAGGATATAAATCATAGTAAATATTTTTAATTAACTTTATATAATAGTTACTTTCTAAGAGAAAAAGAAAGTCAGCAAAAAAGAGATGTTTTATTATACAATTATCGGAAAAAAAACATAACTTCAGCATATAAAACAAATTAAAAAGATTTGCCATTATCTGCATTAATTATAATGCTTTTGCAAGAAAATATAAGAAAACATTACAGGTAAATAAAAAGACAATCCATTCATAAGAATAGTATTAAATAGAATAGTATTATTAAAAACTAATGTACATTGACACTTTAAAACATTTGTACTTCAAAATACATTTTTAATATAAAAGTCATATTGAATTGGAACGTTAGAAATGGGGAGTGAGCTATTATGAAGCAAGAAGCGAACTATTATGAAAATTCTTGAGATCCATTCTCGAATCAAAAGTTATTTGTATTATGGAAGAACACTTGAAGTCGCATACTTATAAAACGACCCGAAAACTATCCATTTCCGTTAATAATCAATCAATAACTAAAATGACTAATATGGCAAAGCATATTTTCAGTCGGACGCATATGCAGTCATTTTATATGACCATGCCTCATCAGTTATTTGATAGTCATTGATTGTTCATCAAGAGAAAAGAATAGTTATTGAAGCTTTATACAAATATCTGAGGCGACCTAATAGTTTCTTATACAAATGTTTTAATTTAAAAATGGAATGCAAGAATTTCCATTATGTTCTCTAATTTCTGACGTTATCAATAGCAGTTCCATAGCGAGAGACTAAGAACCTTAATACGATTATAAAAATAATATTAAAGCTTAATAGTATATTAATTAAAAGAACAAAATCAGAAAAATATTCCTGTAATATTACATTATTAACCCTAGTTAGCATATTTATTTTCGTCTTAGAAAACTATTAAACGTTGAATATACATTGGACCGAAATGTAGGGCGAGATAGGGTTAAAGATGTTTCAACATAAATATATATTTACTTGCAAACAAGAGAAAAAATATTTGGTCAAAAAACTAAATATATAAATAAAAATTTAACCTTGAAACTATTGTCACGGAACGATATACTTTTCCCATTCCCCATTACATGAATGTTATAAGGAAATTTATTTGCTAAATTGCTCCAATCTATTAAAAACCACTGAGCATTTTCATTCATCGAAATTTCATAAGCTTGCAAATGAGTTCGTAACCAGACTATCGTGAATAAAGATAATATAAAAGTAACATTTCTTTTATCTACGAGAATGTACAACAGTAATCCAAACTTCAAATCGCTATCAGACTCAGTATCATTTACTTGTAGAACATTTCTTACGTTATACTTGATACTGTGAATTGTAATTGAACTAAAAGCATTTACTTCTTCGGAGAAAGCAATATCACACGTTTCTATTAGAGAACATTGTATTTCCTTCATATCATGCAATGTACCTATAAATTGCCTATATTCCATAGAATCAGAAAAACCTTTTCTGCTTAAAAATCTATAAGACAATTTTAGTTGTTGCTAAATGCATAATATTAGCAACAAATTAACGCGGGAACTTGAAAATTTTGCAGTATTTTTTAATTCCTTATGGAAAGCTTCGTATCTCACGACCCATATATGACGTACAGGACCTATTTTTTCATAATTGTAGGGTAATGCAAGAGCAAATGAAACTTTGGTTTTAAAGTTTACTCAAATAAATGACAATATTGTTGATGGTGTTCTGTAATCATAGTTTTTAAAGTAATTGAAGAATAAAATATCGTTCTCGATAGCAGTACAGGGTAGGGAAAAATTATTGGTCATGCTTCTGCCAGTCGATTCTACCCGTCGAGATCGCCAACATTGCATCATAAACATGGTGCCGCAAAATTTACTTTCAGGGTCATTTTCAATGTCAAATTTTTTTATTGGCTTAGTCGATTCTACTCGTCGAGCTGAACAAAAGTCTCAAAGGAACCATATGCCGGAAATCAATATTTCATAGAGAAATCTTCGTTTGAAGTTTTTAGAAGCCAAAAAATTTCGTAAAATTAATTGTCATGGGTGTAAAATCTGCTTAATCTACTATTAACGCTACCCAGGAACAACGAAGTGGGCGTGGTAGATTTTAGATCCCTATCTTGGTACCCAGTAACATTTCAACGGCTGTTGGTTCCTTAAAGCAACGGTCATTTGCCTCGGAGAAGAATAATATATCGCTCCATAAGACATTCGTTACTTGTGCTTAAGGAGCTTTCCATCCATATCCAGACCTTTTTCGTGATTATTAGAAGACCGCCGCCGATTTTGAATCCATTTTCAGTGTAAAATTAAAAAAAATTGTTTTAATTTTTTACCAAATTTTTTCTAAGAATAACGTTGCTGTAGCATGCCTCGACGTGGTGCCCGTGATCGGGCGCATCGGGATGGGCGTGACCAACGTCTAATGCTTCGAACAATTGATTGTACTCATGGTAATTACACACGAGCACGAGCTCTTTATGCTAGTTGGTTGCGACGCCAAGCTAATGGCAGACCATTACGTCCAGGGTCCGTGCCTGATCGTCGAGAATTTCAACGACTCGATGAACGATTCCATGATCAGGAGCAAAGGAATTTTGCAAGTGCTGGCCACCGTAAGGCAGGTCGTCCTCGTGTGTCTTGGAGAATTGAGAAACGTGTGATTGCTCTAGCTCGAACTTATCCTGTCATGGGATCACGACGCATTGGCGTGCGAGTAGGAGTTGATCATAAAACAGTCTTGCGCGTTCTCCGTGAGGAAGGCCTACGACCCTACAAAGTGCAGGTAGTACATGAGGTACGACCTGATGATCGCACAGCTCGTCTTCGTTTTTGTCGGTGGATGCTTCGCAAGATCCGAAGAAATCGGCACTTTCTGAAAAATATAGTGTTCATTGATGAATCCAGTTTTTCCAGCACTTCCATTTTGAACCGGCAAAATGTTCGCATCTGGCGCAGACGCAATCCACACGCAATGGTCCAAAGAGTTCAGCAGGGCCGTTTTTCAATGTTTGGGCAGGGATACTCGGAAATAATTATATTGCTCCTGTGTTTCTCTCAAACCGATTGTCAAGCGTTGAGTATTTGTGGTTTCTACGTCATACTCTCCTGAATCGACTGCGACGTATGGTTCCGAGGAATGCCCGTAATAGAATTTTTTTTATACATGACAGTGCTCCACCGCATTTCGGCAGGTAGGTCCGCGCTTTTTTACAACGAGCTTTTGGAACTCGATGGATCGGTCGTAATCTTGCGCCACACTTATGGCCCGCCCGTTCACCTGACCTGAACCCTCTGGACTTTTATTTCTGGGGAGCTCTGAAAGTCATTGTTTATGGGTCAGGCAGGGCTTTAAGGACGGCTCAGGATTTACGAGATCGCATTGAAAAGGCGGTTGCTACTTTAGCACGAAACCGAGCTGTGCACCGTAGAGTGCGAAATAATTTCGTGAAGAGACTCTAAGCTTGCATTGATAACAGTGGTGGTTACGTTGAAGCTGGCAGACAAGCACAACTCCTCAGAGCTATTCGGGCCGATGGATCAGTTCTGTTTGTTCATAGGCAGCGTCGACGACGATAAAGTGAGAGGCAAGGGGAACTCACTATAATCAAGTCACCCCGAAGTGAGAGGCGAGGGGAACTCACTATAATCAAGTCACCCCGAAGTGAGAGGCGAGGGGAACTCACAATAATCAAGTCAGCCCGAAGGGAACAGTAATCTACCACGTCCACGTCGTTGTTCCTGGGTAGCGCTAAGGGTAGATTAAGCAGATTTTTTACCTTGAAAACATATTTTTCAGGGTCATTTTTGGGAGGTGATTTTCGCTAATCATGATCAGGATATTCAGAACATGATTTTAAGAACTTTATAAACATCAGATTTA